ACTCAAGGGGAACAGGGCAAGATCCCACCCATCCTCAGGGTGGGGATTGGGGCAGCATCCCTGCTGCAGGCAGAGCGGGCAGGGGGCTTTGCTCACCGTTTGCTTTCAGGGACGTCCAGGCAGAAGAGTGGGGATCAGCTAACGACGTGTCACTGGTGACATGGAGGGGCTTGTGAGAGCCCGGGCTGTGTCGTGGGACCCAAGCCTTGCTAAGAGAGTCCCACCGTGCTCTGCAGAGTGGCAAAAGCAGCCAGCACGCCGGCTGGAAACACCCCGCGCTTCCCCCTGCAACCGCCTGCTCCTGGCAGGGGAGGTCAAGGGCTCAGCACCCCCAGGGCTGGATCAGGGAGTGTGTGTGTGGGGGGGGTTCCCCCATGTCCTCCATGTTGCTGTGTCCCTCTTGGGCTCTCTGGAGCGGGGCAGGGGAATGGGCAAAGGGAGCTTGAGCCTGGGCAGTGCTGACCCACTGCTCTTTAACCCTGGAGGGGTCTTCAAAGAACAACCCACTGTAGAAGCCTAACTTGAGTGCTCAGCATCACACCTGGAGGGCTCCAAGTCCCCTTGCAGAGGGAGCCAAGGACACCTCCCTGTTTTTTCTTAGCCTCATGGACAAACACAGCTCCGGGGACTTGTAAACGAGGAGGGAGGAGACAAATGTCGTTCAGTAGAGCCGGTGCCACTGGGGCACTGCCCCACACCAAACTCCCCGTGCAGGTGGCTGAGCAGTGCCACAAAAACCCTTGGTAAGAAGCAGAGTACCTATAGAGGGGTCTGGGTTTCAGGGTGATGGTGAATCTCTTGAGGCTTTCGGTTTCCCACATTATTCCTAAAGTCTTCCCAGATTTTGTCCCTAAACCCCGCTGGCTTTGAGAAGACAGAGCAAAGCAGGGCTGGGCCATGCTGAGGCATCCTGGTGGATCCCGAGGAGGAAGTTTGTGCTGGAGCCACGAGAAACGAGCTCCTGAGAGCCACAGTGGGACCTTTCGGGAGGGAATGATTCCCACTAGCCAGCGCAGGGGTGGTGGGAAGGGGCACGAAGGTGAGGTGCCAAACATGCTTTGGGGGTTGGCTCCAGTCAAAGCCTTCCGGAGGCACCGTCTGGATGTGGGGCAGACGTTGGGCTGTGCCGAGGCATTCCCGGGGTGTGGGGTGCGTCCTGTGAGGGGTTTGTCCCGAGGTAACTAGGTCTGCTTGATAAACACCTCGTGGCTTCTCTGATCGACAAGCCTTTGGGTTTCCGGTGCGCACGAGCACAAGGTGAACTTTCGGTGGATATTTTCTGCTACGGGCGGTTCTGCAAGTGCGTGCGTGAGTCACTTCACCCACCCCTGACACGGGAGGAACTGCTCACATGAGTCCAGTCACTCATGTGTACATGAGTGCTCACAGGACACCGCTGACCCTCCGCACTCCCGGGTCACTGGTGCTGCCCTGTTCACCACAGAGATCCCAGCAGCAGACCTCAGCCAAAGCCAGCCCTCCCAGTGCGGGGTTGGAGCCGACAGTACTGGAAATCGAGCTCTCTGACTCCAGGATTAAGACATAATTTTAAAATAGCTCGTTTGATATCTTTGCTAGTTTATTTGTTTAATAAAAGCACTTAGTTAGCTGGAGTCCCAGGCTCCTGGGGCTTTAGTTTCTCTGCAGAGGAGATAAGAAAAGCGCATTTCCTTATCCAGTGAGTCATTTTTTCTGCTCTTTAATTATGCATTTGTGCAATTATCAAGCATATTCAGCTCTGAGATGCAAACAGTTCAAACTACTCACCAAGCTTTAACTTTTGCTGCTCCAAAAATGATCAACAGCCATTGCAAAGGGCGGAGGAGGCAAAGATGGAGGTGATGAAGAGGGGAACGGCTGGTGCTTGGATCTGGCTGGGCAGCCTGGGCTGCACTGGTGAGCAGACACATGTGCAAGTGCTGCTGGGGAAGTCAGCGGTGATTTTCTCCATGAGTAAGCGTTACCATGTGTGAAATCAAACATCGTTTTCTTGGCCCAGGAGGAAGCAGACAGACCAGGAAGGGAGCATGAAAGAGCTGTAGAGACGGATAAAGAAGACTTAGAAAATGGGAGGGAATAGGGTAAAATCAATTGCAGCAATGAGGCCGCAACATTCTTCCACGTAACAAGACCTGGGAGCACTTCATTTGCAGGAGGACATCACGGCTGCCGTCCCCGGGCTTCCTGACATGCATTTGCAGCTTCAGGTTTTCACTCCAGGTACTGAAACAGGAGCCATTGGCTCCTGAGCTCTATTGTAAACCTCACCCTCTGTGTTAAAAACACAAGTACCTCAGTTTGGGCTTTCCCCAGTGCATATATTTGACTGGAGGGGTCACAGAGTTAATCTGTAAGTGTGGTACTGCAGATGCCAGGACCCATTTCTCCCCACCCTGCATTAAGCCAAGGAGAGAGGCTACAGTGGGACCCATGGGAATAGGGACTGGGCGTCACCAAGAGATGACTAATGTTGGGGTAGCACAGTGAGGGGAGTTCAGGGAGGAGAGCGAGAGGGAGATGATGGAGGAGCACCCTCCTTTGGGAAAAGGAGACCAGCAGTTGGAAACACCCTGGGGCAAGAGGGACGGCAAAGCCTTTGGAACAGGGAGGTGTCGCAGGGGCAGGTATTCTGACAGAGCACTGGCTATTTTGTGGGGGACCTCTGCCTCCGTGCGCAGCTCCAGCCCCAGCAGCCCACACGGCAAGATGTTTTCTGCTCTTTAGTCCCTACCTTTACACTTCTGCCAGGGACAGTGAACACTCTGGGTGCCATCTCTTCCACACAGGGCTCTCCACTGTCAAGCTCAGATGTGGCCTGGAATGACCCTCAGCTCCTCTGACCCCTGAGCCCTCCCTGCTGTGCCTTTCTGACCCCCTGGAGATGCTCCCGGTGCACCCTGCCCCTGGATGCATGCCCCTCCTGCTCCCACGCTTGCACCACAGCCCTGCTCCTCACCTGGGGCACGCGAGAGGCGGGGAGCTGGGTGAGGTGGGAGATGGAGGGATGTCCTCCCCTGGCAGGTTCCTGCGCAGGGGCGAGCGCAGCCTGTTCAGCGCAAGCATCGAGGCAGAGGGTGCTGAGCTGGCCGTGCCGCTCATGGCTTCGGCGTTCGGGGTTGCGTGGAGAGAGGGAAGTGCTTGGCATGGCCCCGCTCACTCGAGGAGTTTTGGTTTGACTGAGATGGAGGGGGAATAAGTGAGTCACGGGCGCAGGAATGGAGGCCGGGCTCTCGCAGCTCCTCAGAGGAGCCTGCAGCCCCCCCCGGCTGGGCATGGCCATCCCCACGGGCTCGGTGCAGCCGGGCAGGGCGCTCCCCGGCAGCCAGGTACGTGTGCACGTGTGAGAGGGGCGAAGGAGCGAGTGGCTGGGCACGCCGGCTGGAAAGGGAAGTGAAATCGCAGCAGGCGTGGAACCGGAGGGCAGCAACCGGTTTTGGTCGGGACTTTCACTCACCCAGAGCCCCGCAGCACCCGGCGGGGAGGGCTGAAACGTGCTGGGGCCGCTTCGGTGCTGCCCTGGTGCAGCCCACCTCTGAGGATGCTGCTGGCAGGGAGGGAGAGGTGGCTGGGGTGGCGGGAGGGCCCTGCCGTGGGGCAGCTCCTGCCCTGTGGGCCGTGGGGTGCTGGAGAGCTGTGCTTGGGCTGAGACCCAGCGGCGGGGAGCTGCTGCCTGCCTCCCACCGGGGCTTCAAGGGGTGGGGTGCGGAGGCTGCGGGCTCATCTTGCCCAAAAGTCACCGGAGAGGGGCAGGTACCAAGCCTTCTGGCCTGTCTCAGAGAAGCGTCGTTGCCCAGTGGGGACACCTGGTACTCTGTCACCTTGAGCCAGAGCGTCCTTTGGCTTTTCTCCTCCTCTCCTCCCAGCCTCTGTTCAGGACAGCGAGTGGCAGAGACCTCACTAGAAAGAACCCAGAGGCTGTAGCTGCTGCAAGGATGGGACCCCGGCAGTAAAGCCCCGTTAGGGCTCTCCTGGCCAGGGCAGGTCTTCTGCGCTGCTTCCTTCAGCTGAGAGCAAGACGAGCAACTGTGGCTGCTCCCTTTATTTCCTGTGGGGTGAAGAAAAAGAGGACATGGCTTTTGTTTGGTAGGGATGGAGAAGAGTCACCTGCAACACTGAAGTCCATCACTTACCCACTTCAGATCTCAAGCATTGGGCTTTGACATGTGGATACCAGTGGCAGGACCTTTCTACTGCTCCTGACCAGGAGCACCTAAGACCGTTAGGGGTTTATTTAGTCCTTTCCAAGGGTATGGGGACCAGACTTGCTTGGTGTGACCTGCTGTGCCCATGCCCTGGGCAGTTGCTGAGCAGAGCCAGATCTGAACCCTGGAGAATGAGACGTAGTGCCAAGGAGCTGGGAGGGTCCTTGCCACAGGTCTAGGTCTGGGATGGAGAGAGGAAGGTGGTGGAGAGCACTACCTTTAGTAGGGATGGAGAACACACACCAGTTGGCCTGCCTACACAGCAATCACTGACAGGCTGTGTCCTCGGGGCAGTGGGAGCTTTTAAAAGGGGAAACCTTGGTGTCCCTGCACTCTTTTCTCCTCCGGTCCTTTTCTGCATTTTCCATCCCAGCCGGATCCGTGGCCCTGGGATGTGTTCTTGTAAAGATCTGGGCACAGGAAAACCTCCTGTAGGCGCCGGAGGATGCCGAGGGGGCTTTTCACCAGCAGGTGAGGGCGGGTGCGGGCTGGGGGCGTTGTACAGGTGGGCTGGGGAAGGGTGAGGTCTGAGGAGGTGACACCGTTGGACTGGGGCACCATGCTGCGGGGCATGGGGTTGCTGCGTGGCTGGGGCATGCCAGGGACTGCAGGGATTTTGCAAGTGTATTTTCAAGGAGCGGGGTAGCTTGAAGGCGCGTTGCAAGGGCAGGCAGGGGTAGGGCTTGGGCTCTCGCTCTCCTCCTCCCCCGGTGAAGATCCGCCCCAGGGCAAGCGCAGCGATCACGGTCCCCAAGGGACACGACGCAGCTTGACAGACTGTATCTCCCTCTGCCACAGGCCCCGGGGCGCTGCGATTTCACACTCCGGCGGCCCCTCTGCCGCCACGCCATGCGGGAGCCGGGCTCTCACTCCCGTTCCACCATGTCCTCGTCAGGAAAAGCCGCCGCCGCCTCCTCCTGCCTCTCCCCTCAGTGCTTCGACCTCCTGACCAAGTCCTGCGTCAAGTGCTCCGACTTGTTCAAGGACAACACAAGTAAGGGGACGAGGGCGGCCGGGGACTGAGCTCCCCGCGGCTGGGCGGTGGTGGGACAAGGGGGCTGGGGACACCCTGGGGGTGGCAGGTGAAGAGGACTTTCTCCTGCCGATGGAGGTGGAGGTGGTGACGGAGGATGGAGCTCTGCCTTCACCTGGAGGAGGAGAAAGGAAGAGAGCGGCCAGTTCCAGTGAGGGGAACACGGTGTGGGTCGAAGGGAAGATGATCCAGCCTGGCGCAGGGGTCACAGCCTGCCTCAGGGGTGACCATGGGAAGAGCGGGACACCCTCATCTCCCACCAGCCAGGAACAGCAGCGGGTGGGACGAGGGTCCCACCAGGCAGGGGGGTGGTTCGTTGCGGGTGGTGGGTGGGTAGCGGTGAACTGCTCCCCTTCCCCACCACCGCCGTCCCAAGGCCAGCTGGAGGGGTGGGTAACGCCGCTGCCCTGCGTCCCTCGCCCCAGCTCTCCCCCTCCTGACACTGCCCGTGTCTCGCCCCGCAGCAGAGCCTGCCCGTGTGGCACCCACCTCCGCCCTGGCGCCCACCCTCCCCTCGGTGGACCTGCCCAGAACCCTCCTGATCTTTGGGATCCCGGCAGCGGTGGGGCTCATCCTGGCCCTGGCTGCCTTCTGGGGGTTCCTGGCCTTCAAGGTGGGGAAGCGGAGGAGGAAGAGGAAGGCGGCGGACGAGGAGGCCAAAGGTAGGGGACCTTTCGCTCTCCCTGTCACAGCACCCCGAGGACTCTGGGGCAGAAGGGATCACTTACCGCCGGCTCCCCTGAGGCACATCCCTGTCGAGGCCAGCTCCTCCACCTCGACACGGGCAATATGGACACCCCAGGGCATTTGGTAGAAGCTGAGCGGCCCCCCCCGAGTGATGTTGTCCCATGTACCCTGGGAACCCACGCCTGCATTTGACTGCCTGCTGAACCATCCCTCCTTTCGCTGGGTGTCCCCATGTCCTTCGCTTGCTTAAAGCACCTGCTGGCATCATCCCTTCTCCACAGGGAACGCATACAGAGCGCTGGTGAGGATCTTCTCCCTCTTCCCCGGGAGCTGAAGGGCCATGGATGGAGTGGGGGCTGCGGGAAGTGGTGGACAGCTGGGGATGGCTCCAGAGTGAGCCTCTCCCTGGGGCGCTGCAAATGGGGATCCCATGTTGACCACCCAGTTTGCTCTTCCCTCTTGGGATGCCCAGCACCCTCCAACACGCACCCCAAAGAGCCCAACGGTGTCAGGGCCAGACCCATCGGCAGGACACCGAAGCATCACACAGGGTCATCCCCGAAGGCATCAAAAATAGGGCTGGAGGGGTAAGGGACGAGAGTGAGCCTTTCCTGGTGGGGTGTTTCCAGCGGGATGAGGCCACAGTGCCCCGTGATGGCCCATCTTGTTGGGGCATCAGTCAGGGGCTGGTTGGCCATTTCGTCCCCTGGGGACCCCCACCCCAGTGCTGACTCAACCCTGGCCACTCTTCTCAGAAACAGCCTCGCCTGACTTCACCCCTCCCCATCCCTGGGCAGGGGGTATGGCTCCATGGGACCCCCAAGAAGGGCCACCCTGCGGTTTGCTGGCATCCACCACCTCCCCACTTCCCAGGTGGGTGCCCTTGGGAGGCAGTGGGGCCAGGGGCAGCCCATCCTCACACCCCAGCTTGCCCGCACGCCGCTGACAGTGCCAGCCGGGTGACTCAGACCAGAGGGGACATTACCTGGGGCCTTTCCGCTAAACCGAGTGTGGCTGTGACAGCCCATGACGCACACGCCTGGGAAAAACACCAAGAACAAAAGAGGAGGGAAAAATCCAGTGGCAAGAGAGGTCTGGCCATGATGGAGAGTGTCGGAAGCACCCCTCAGCTGCTCCCCTGCCACATGCCCTGGTCCCTGTCCCACCCTGTTCCTCCATGCAGCACCTGGGCAAGCCCACCGCTGCAGCACTGGATGCGTGGAAAGTCGCAGGAGGCTTGGGGCCAGCGGCATGCGTCTGTGTTCGAAGCGTGTAAACAAGTCTATTTTTAAGTGGGAGGAGGTCGAGGAGGGCGAGCCACCAAGGGCTGGGCTGCTCTGCTGCCGGCAGAGTTTGGTGAGAGGGCTCAAAGTGCAAGTGCAAGTTTCTGCCTTTCCCTATTGTTTTTTTTTTTTTTTTGGGGGGGGGGGGGGGCGGGAAACATCAGTTGTAAGCAGGAGGAGTTCTGCAGCAGGAGCGGTGTGGGGGGGACCTTGCAGGCTCCTCCTACTCCAGCTCCATCTTCCTGTCCCTGTATCCCCAGGGATGGGACCCTGCCCCTGGGACCTGCCTGGCACCGCTTTGTGAGCCCTGTAACCCCCTTTTCTTGCCCCCTCTCAGCAAACATGGATGCCGCCAGCCCCCTGCCCAGCCTGGGCTGCCAGGACCCTGCCATGCCGGAGGGAGATGCCACCTTGGCTCTGACCCCATGCCCACATCTCAATGGAGGCCTGAAGATGCCAGGGCAGCCAGGGAAAGCCGGGGCAAAGCGGAGGCCGTGCTGCCGGGGTGATGCCGACGGCGACATCATCCTGCTCTCCAGCGTGTACCCCCGGCACGAGGAGTGCAACCACGGCTTCCCACTGCCCGCCACCGAGCTGGGGGCCACAGCCCTGGTCACCACCAAAACCACCCAGAAATGTGCCGGAGAGGAGAGAGCCTGAGGGCAGGGGGAACGGGACTGGAGCACTCCAGCTGCTCCCTGTGGATGCCCAGAGCCCATCCCCAGGGCGGGCAAAGCCTTAGGACCGGGTTTTGCCTCGAGCAAGATCAGCCTTCTAAGATGACTGCCCTTTTCCACTTTTCCATTTGTATTGAGTCCTAATTTACTCCTGTAAGTGCTGGAGGGAGCCAAAGCAGATCACGCCGAGTTATGCTGAACTGAGGACAGTTGTCATGGCCGTTACCATTGGGAGGAGGCAGAGGAGACGCGGCTGGTGAGGACAGAGAGTGGCGGGGGCTGCTGTGCCATTTGCGAGGCTGCCATTGTGCCAAGACAGGTCTGCTGCTGGATGGGCAATTCCTGGGAACGTGGGGCTGGAATAGCAGAAAGGGCAGGGGAAAGGAGGATGGAGAGGGAAGCAGGGAGTTACATTAGGACCAAATCTGCTGCTCGTAGCTCAATTTTTGCTACTGACCTCAATAAAAGGAGGCTTGGGACCACACAGAGCAAGGCACATCCAGCAGCACCTTCTCAATTCACAGTCCTGACTTTGCATGCCGTAATATCCAGGTCTCTCCTCCCTCTGGGCACTCTCATGTGGTGTCAGGCATCCACTGGCACTGATGGGAATCCCCTCCGCAGCCAGCTACCCCAGGGGTGGGAAACAAGTTCATCTTCCCAAGCAGGGAGCGAGGGAGGGGAGAGGGGTTAAAAATCTGTCTTTGCTCTGACCTACAATCACCAAAGTTGGGGGGACCAGGGGCAAGTAATGGAGACTGATGGGCTAGAAGAGCTCCGTGAGCTTATCTTTATGGCACCAGACAGCCATCACTTCAGCTCACTGTGGCTGCAGAAATACTGTGTGTCACTTGGGATGGATGTTTCCATGCCGTGCAAAACCAGGCAGGGAGTGATGCGAGCGTAGGCGGGATGACTTAATTTATGTGAGTGTCTTCAAGGCTTTGCCTGCGTGCCAGAGCTGGCTGGCATTACTGGTCCAAGGCACTTCTTAGATGGTCTTGTTCACCTGCCTGCAAGTGGCTTTACTGTACAGGAAGGGCTCTGCTTCAGAAACAAAGTCATTAGTGCAGGATTGCTCTTCCCCAGTAATTACAGCAGCTGATTCCCCTGGCTGAACAGAGCCAGGACAATGGGTTGGATGAGAAACCCTGCTGGTCCTGGAGGGGGTGATTATGCAATTAGAAGTGTCTTGGGGTGGTCACGGAAGAGCTATTTGCATGAAGCACCATGTGGGTGGCAGCCTGGCCTGCACCTCCTCTGGTGAGGTGGTTTTCTTGCCCGAGAGGCTTTGGGGAACTGAGCAGGGGTGGCCAATTAAGGTGTGGGGACACTGCTGCTAAGTGCCAATGGGCGACTGAGGGCCACAGCTCATGGCAGGGCTGCCCGGTGGCACTGTACAGAGGGGATGTCCCTTTGATGACAGGAAGGTGACTCCCTGCCCAAGCCTGAGCTCTTTTCTGGGGCTGCAGGACCAGATGCTGTTGCTTAAGGGTGACCTTCCCACTTCTCCCCTGCCCATGGCAATGGAGCCAGGCTCACGGCATCCGTCCCTTAAGGGTAACCACAGGCACTGCCACAGGTGACAAGGTCCAAATTCCTCACCACGACTCCTCTCCCAGATCTAAACGTGCTGGTGGAGGTGAGCCTTCATCTGGCTGAGGCTCCACATCACCCAGGATGGGACGGGTCCCCATCTCAGCCTCGGGGCTGAGGATGGTGGAGGGGCTGGTCCACATGCCCAGTGACTGTCCTGTGGAGCTCCAGGAGCCCGTGGCTCACTGGCAGGAGCTGTGGAGGCTCCAGCACTGGCCTCCCAGTTACCCGCAGCAGCCGTGCTGCTCCTTGCAGGAGGGATAGCCCTGCTGCATGAACCAGGCATCTCCTCATCCCCGTGCCCCACACTCAGCCCTGTGAAGTGACTTCGAGCAAACTTTGTGCCTCTGGAGTGGGAAAATGAGCCAAAGCCAAGTCGGGAGACTTTTTGGCCCTGGAAGAAGGACTGCTCGTGGGAGACAGCAACCTGCTTCGTGGGAGACAGCAGCCTGCTTCATGGGAGACAGGGGCGAGAGGGAAATGGAGAAGGACTGTCAGGAGCATCTTCCACTTCCCACCCAGTGATCACCACAGCTCAGTCCTGCAGATACCTCAGCCCTGCCCACCCCGACCAACGTGGCAATTTGAAAAAGAAACTCCCATACAAATAACATAGACAAAGCCCCTCTTTCTGCTCAGGTAAGGACTTCTGCTCTCATTTCTGCTAGAGCTTCAGCCAGGTGTCTCCTCTGTGAGACTCCACCAGCATCTGCAGTTCACAGAAGCAGCATTTTGATCCACATTGGATTCCTCAGCTAGCAAATGCCCATCGGATCCCCTCTCTGTGATGGCATTGGGGGCGTCTTCCCCCTCATCCTGCCTGCCTGCCTGCCAGCCATGGTGGGGCATTGCTCCCCTCCTGCCTGGCCTGCTCCCTGCCTGGGCCTGGGAGGGATTTGCAACCCCCTCTGTGCGTGCTTCTCCATCCTTATGTACAGGGCAGGGGGCTGGCTGTCTGTCTTGTCTGCATGGAGAGCAGAGGGAATGGACATTTAAAATATGGTTGTAAAAATTAAAGAATAAAATCAACCTGTTGCTAATGCATGCTCAGAGGTATGGATGGGGAGGCACCTTCTCGATCCCCATTCCCCTGGCTTCAGGGGTCTCCAGCAAGGCAGTTCCAGGGGTGCAGCAGGACCTTGAGCTGGAGAAGCTCCCCCTGCACCGGCTTCACCAGCGCATCCCCTGCACATGGCCATCTGCACGGCCAGGGACCAGCTTGGCCACCTCCATCCCCACCGTGGCCACCCCAGGAACTGGCTGACAGGACGAGGAGCAGTGGCAAGTGGTTTGGGGGGGGGTTGGGGGGTGTTGCCCGTCTTTGACTTTCCACAGCAGTTTCTCACTTCCCCCTGCGAGGCAGGAGCTGTGCTTCCTCCTCGGCCCAGTGCCCGCCCTGCTGCCCGCACGACTACCTAGGAAGGCTGGTGAAGCCAGACTTCACCTGGCCGCAGGGGTGTGGGGTTTTGGTGAGAGCCAGGGGACAGTCTGAGGAAATCCCAGTCTGGGGCTAAAACCTTCCTTGCTGCAAAATCACCTCGGGAGTATCCCTAACCACTACAACCTCGCCAGCCCCACTGTGATGGCGGTCACGGGGGTATCAGAGCTCCCGCAAGTCCCGCTGATGGGCAGTGCTGGTAGTACAGGATGGAAGCCTTGGTGTCCCTAGGGATGGGGGTGGTTTTCATCCCTGTTCCTAAAGGTGGAAGCCAGCTGGCCAACAGAGCGTGATGGCACAGGGATGGAGGCACCAAGGCTGAAGGTCTCCTGTAGCCACCAGTCCTGGCTGCCAAACCCTCCCCAATCCCACAGGCTCCCTAGCCTCCAAGGTGCTTGGCTTTCTTCCACCGGCCTCTCTGCCCGGGCCCTTCTCCCTTCACTTTCTCCTCTCTTCCCCCATTGCTGGTTCACCCACCAGTTTAGTCTCCTAACAGTTCACCCACAGGCCCAGCTACTTCAGCCCAAAGCACCCCCACACACCCCTGCAGACCCGTCTTGCCCCTCCACGGGCTTTCTGTGGGTGCTGGACCTCAACAGCAGGCAGGGCAGGGCAGGGTAGGGTGGGCACCATTTTATCCCATGCACAAAGCAATACTCTAACGGCCAACGTCTAACAGGGACTGCCCGTCTCTGGGTACTGCCTCCGATCCCCCCACTTGCTGCAAGAAGACCGGGGCCACCCCGTCACCCACTTGCGGGTCAGGGACCTCCTCCCACCCCACAGGAGCCTTCCCCACCACCCGCTTCCCAGCGCCAGTCACTGCAGAGGGACGCGTGGGAGACCCTGCAAGCCCCCAGGGGACACCCGTGGGTGGCTGTGGGTGACAAGGAGAGTCCATCAGGCCCAGGACGCCCGCCACGAGGTGGCACTGACACCGCACGCTGGCCTGCATGGCTGCAGCGCCGCAGGGGAGCTGCGCGGGAAGGCGAATGCCCAAATGCAGCAAAGGGAGTCGGGGAGGGCCGGGCAGGCTGGTGGCCAGCCCCACTTTGGCCAGACGACTTTAGTGACAGCTGGGCCTGACTCCATCTGGCCGCACAGCCCATCGCCATGGCCTCTGGTGAGAAAAGGCTGCTGGTGGATCTGGTCGTGGGGCCCATCACCGCAGCCTCCTGGCTGCCCAGGGGAAAATGGTCACTGGTGGCTGGGCACCCGTGGGCAGAGCAGGCAACCAAAGGGCAAGCGGGATGCAGCGAGGTGCTGCTCCTTCGTCCAGCACCACCGAGCACCTCCACCATCACCCCACTCCCCGGAGCAGCCCATCTCCAGTGGTGTCAGGCCTCCCTAGGGACTCCCTGGGATTCAGACCTGCCAGCCAGCACCGCCCTTCCCCATCCCCTCCCGGTCAGCCTCTACCAAAAACCAAAATACTGTGCTACCCGCCAAGCTCCCCAGCTGGAAAAGGCCCCGGGCTGGGGAGAAGAGGCAGCCTGGTCTCCTGCATGAGGCTGTTGGGGGACCACAGCCTTCCTGATGCCGCTCATCAGCATCCCTCCCTAATCACTACCCACTGCCTAATGACAGTAATTAGGAAGAGCGAAGCTGCCTGGGGACTGGAAGCGCTGACAGAGTTGAGGGAGCCAGATGGTGTTCACACTTAAGGAAAGATTTAAAAAAAAAAAAAAACCAACCAAACCAAAACAACAAAAAAAAAAAACCACTCAGCTTCGATCAGCCTCTCTTTCCTTTGCTTAGTGTCAGGATCACTTTGGTCCGTGGGCACACCGGGGAGATGCTAAGATGTGGCACCGGCCAACTTCCCCACCCCGCCATCTCCAGGTGTTTTAGGGTTCCAGGGGAGCAGCGGGAGGGGGTACAGCGCCTGCCTGAGTGCCTGGCTTGGAGGGGGTTTCCTTGCTGCTTTTGTGCTCTCCCCCGGGGCCACCCCCGCTGCTCCCCGCTTTGCTGGCCGTGCTCAGCGAGCGGTTTCCCAGGGGGTTAAGAGAGGGGGACAGCCAAAAACCGCCTGAGGGGCTGCGGTGAGCAGGCAGCAGCTCCCCTGGCAGAAAGGGCTGGCCAAGGGACAGCCCCACACTTTCCCCGGGGCCACTGCCCCGGGGTTTGCAGGGGAGCACCCAAAACCTGACCTCAGGGTCCAAAGCGGTTGGGCAGGAACTGCCAGGCTCTCAGCTTCACCTCTCTGGAGAAACCCCACCCGCAGCCAAACCCCTGCAAACCCCTTCCCCGAGCCCCGGGAGATGCCACCTGCCTCCAGAGCCACCTGCCAGGCTGCAGGTGCACCCCGGGGCTGGGGTGGGGGGACACGGGGGGGTGTGAGGGAAACCCCCCTCCTGCCCCCGAAGGCTGCCCCGAATGCTGTCAGGGTGCCTGGGTCTTTGTCTGCCATCGCAGCCTGGGGATTCAGGGACAGGGACGTGCCAGGTGGGGAGGATGCTCAGCCTCATGGAAGAGGGTGCTCAGCCTCCTGCCATGGTGTCAGCCTGACCTTGCTCCAGGGGTGCTCCAAGAAGAGGCCCCAAGGCAGGCGTAAGGCAAAACCGCATGTCCCCTGGGATTCAGGGCGGGGTGGCTTACCCCCCCCCCCCCCCCCCCTTCCACAAGAAGTCAGGTCGTTTTAAACCCATTCTTCCTCCCGGTCCTAGCTTGAGATGGGGGGAGAGCCCCGCCAAGTGACACAAACCCTGTCTGACACCTGAAGTGATCAGCAGCGACAGGCAGCTTGCAGGGGGAGAGCCCCTGTCCAGGCGCTGCCGTGACAGGGATCAACACCCCCCCCCCCGCCGGGGACACCTCCGAGGGATGCAGGGCTCTCCTCCTGCCGGGAGGTTGGCTGCCCCATTGCACCGTTCCCAAAGGGCTGTGGAAGCGGACATGGGATGTGGAAGACCCCCAAAAGTGAGAGTCTACTTCTGAACCACACCCCACACCCCCCCCCCCCCCAAAAGGGATCAGCTGGGCAGCGAGGTGGCCAGTGCCAGAGCTGGAGCACGTGGCACAGCCCACCTTGCTACAAACACACGGTGCATCCTCCCCTCTTCCACCCACTTGATGTTACTTCCCCTTTTTTCCCCCTTTTTTCTGAGCACGGGGCTGTGCTGGGAGCCTGGGGTACAGCCAGAGGGGTGCGGAAGGAGGGGGGCCATTGGCAGCGGGGTGCTATGGGGGGGCCAGGCCCCATGTCCTTCACCCAGCAGCTCCGGTGTCGGCCAGCCACAGCTTGCCAGCTGCTGGCAGGAGCTATTCTGAGCCTGGATCGATGGGCGAGCGTCGGGGTTTGGGTGACAGCTCTGGGAGGCATGTTGGGAGGAGGGCTGCAATCAGGGAACAGCAGGTGGGATTTTTCAGGAGATTCCCCCATCCTTCCCCTCCGCTACCCTGCTGTCCTGAAAGGTTTCAATGATGCAGATGTCTTTCTCGTTTCCTTCCCTACGGGGGTTGCAGTCTGACTGGGTCCCGCTACCCAGATGCTGCTTCCTGATTTGAGAAGCACCAGCGTTTCACGGAGTGGCGAAACTCCGGGATGAAGGCACCTGCAGCCAAAAGCTGTGACCGAGACCAAGCAAAGGATGGCAATTTAAATAGGAGTTTATGGTGGGGGTGACATGCAAAAGAGCATCTTCCTTCTCAAAAAAAAAACCCTGAAATTCTTATTCTTTGCTGATGATGTTGATGATCATAATAATCATAATCATAATCACAACAACAGCAACAACAGCAACAACAATAACAATAGTAATAATAGTAATAATAGTAATAATAGTAATAATAGTAATAGTAATAGTAGTAGTAGTAGTAGTAGTAGTAGTAGTAGTAATAATAATAATAATAATAATAATAATAATAATAATAATAATAATAATAATAATAATAATAATAATAATAATAATATTTTTGCTAAGAATTTACAAAGCTGTTAATTCCTTCATGAAGTTAGGGTAATTTTAAGGCAGGTGCTTTAAATGCAGCGCTGGTAAATTTGGGTATCAGGCAAATTCAAATACTTGCATAATTTTTCTTTTTTTTTAATGCTGTTTTCTCTAGTTAAGAGGTTCGCCTTCTCTGTGAGTGTTCTCAGGGGCGAGACGCGGTGAGCATTGCCAGGGGTGTCCACCAAGGACCACAGCCCTCATGGAGGGGGCCCAGTGCCCTTCCCTGGAGCAGAGCAGGGGCAAAGGATGGGCACGGGAGGGATGTCCATGGCCGCTCACCTTCGCTGGCCATCACTGCCCTTCCCTGAGGAAGGTCCTGGTTTATTTGCAGGTGCTGAAAGCACTTCCCATTGCAAACAAGAGGGAGAGTTGTTTTGATGCTGGGCAACCCCATTGTGAGAGGGCAGAAAGGGCTGGAGCAGCGGGTTGGGATGAGGGGGAAGGAGAGACCCATTGCCCCCCGTCCTAAGCCCCCCCACAGAGCCCTGCCACAGCCACAGCCCCCCAGGCCTGCCCCTCTCATTCCCCTCCTGCCAAATTCCCTCTTGTCTCTGCTCCTCCCCCTCACTGCTAATATTAAAATGAAATCTATAAATGCTGCTGGAGTGACACATTTCCCAGTGTATTCCCAGTAACGGCCTCTCTGGGT